AGGTGAACTTGATGATAGAAATCATCTTTTACCGAATCAGTGCTACAGTTTGTAGGGGCGTAGGCCGCAATGACAAAAAGGCACCGTTTGTTCCCGCGCGACTTCGTAGCATGGAACGAACCAACTAACGGCGCACATCCGACTGTTGACTAGGATCCAATCAGTCTGGGCAGCTTCCGTCCGGGGACTCAAAACAATCCCGACGCCAGCTTGACCGGCATTCAAATCTGCGTCATCGCCAGACAGGCGCAATGAGAATGTGCAGCCAGTGTCGTATGTGAGGGATCTCAGGGTAAGCACAGAGCTCGAATCTTGCAGACGGGTATCTGATAAACAGCAAATATCGATCGACAGGGTCTCTAGTGTTCGAACAAGTACTGCCTGTGGGCTAATTTGTAGCCAAGTGCGCACGTTGAGGCATGTCAGTCTTAGCGAGAGGCGAGGACTCCGAAGGGAAACGGATGAACTGACGTCGTCCGCTTGGTTGAACATGGACTCGTTGACCGGATTGGAGTGACGCCCTGCAATTGTGTGTGAGTTGCAACTAGGACACAAGCGAGTATTGAAGCAAGGTGGGGGAGGACTAAGAATTGGTGAATTGAAAATGGAGGGGATAAAAGTAAAGTTGGAGCGGGACGATAAGAATGAAAAAGTGCAAGGGGGATAAGAAGACGGGAAGACCTGAGCGGTAGCATCCATAACTCTATCCACCCGGTTCGATGCAGCAGATAGGGTGCCGTTGATTATTCTCTGCGACGTTCTCATACGTGATGCTTAGTATGACACTAAATATCACATTAAGCTTTTTTCATACATCTTATTGTTTTGGTACTGCGGCATATTAGCTGAAGTGTGTTTATCACCTTCAGCTAACGGCTATTGATGATAACGATGAATTTCTCTTCAAACAATTTTTTGATGCTCTAACCACCGCAGATGATAAACAACGTTGCCCTGTATGCTGCATCGAGCAGGGTGGATAGGGGTTTGGATGCCACTGCTCAAGCCTTCCCGTCTCCTTATTGCCCCTCTTACGCTTTTTCACTCTTACCGTGCCGTTCCAGCTTTACTTTTATTCCCCCGTTTTCAACCCCCAATTCTTGGCCCTCTCCCACCTTCCTTTGCTAGGCTTTTACCTTCTAGTTTCAACTCATATGTGAACGCTGAGCGTCATTCCTGTCCTGTCGGCAAGCCCATGTCCAACCAAACGGCCAAGCCCAGTTCATCGACTTTCATTTGGAGCCCTCGATTATGCTTTACATCGGCATGCCTCAATATACACACATTGCCACAAATCGGTCAACAGGCAGCAATTGTCCGAACAGTAGAGACCCTCTCGATCGACATCTGCTGCTTATCGGAGACTCGCCTGCAAGACTCAAGCTTTGTGCTCACTTTACGATCCCCTTCAGGTGATACCAACAGCACTTTCCCATTGCGCCCATCCGGTGATGATGCAGCTTCGAGCACCGGCCAAGCCGGTGTTGGTATTGCCCTGAGTCCCCGGGCTGTAGCTGCTCTGATTGATTGGATTCCAATCAGTAGCCGGTTGTGTGCGATCCGATTGGTTGGCTCGTTCAAACTTTCGAAGTCGCGCGGGACTAACAGGTGTCTATTCGTCATCGCTGCCTATGCACTCACAAACTCTAGCGATGATTCGGTAAAAGACGACTTCTATCGCCAATTGAACGAGCTCCTTAGCCACAGAAGAAGCTCGGACACTGTTGTGCTGGCTGGGGATCTGAACGCTCAAGTTGGAAAATTATCCACTGATGAACTGAATCTAAGGGACCAACATGGTGCAGGCTACTGTAATGATAACGGTGAGCGGTTACTTCATTTGTGTGAAGATGCCCGCTTATTTCTTGCGAGCACTAACTTCCGACAAAGCACCCGCCGGAAGGTGACTTGGCGCCCACAAGCCTCGAACCAGTCTTGGACGCAAATCGATCGCATTGCGATAAGTTACCGACGGAGAGGCTGCGTCCAGAACTGTCGCTCGATTTGGAGCACAAATGTGGACACCGACCATGCACTTGTATGTGCTGACCTGCAGGTGCGTTTTGGCAGACACCCAAGACGACGTTGTGAGCGCATTGACACCAGCCAACTGGCGAAACCAGCTGTTCTGAATGCCTATCAAAGTACGCTGTCATGCGAGTTGGATAAACGCTCACTGGATGCAGTTGAAGGTCACTGGTCTCATATTCGCCAGTCCTTACTAGCAGCAGCAGAATTCTCATGTGGTAAGTCTAATCGCCAACATGGACATTGGGTCTCTTCGCAGTCTCTGGAACTTATCGATGGTTGCCGGCATATTCCGGCTGGAAGCGAACACAATGAAATTCGCAAAGAGCTCCGGGCAAAACTCCGTGCTAGCCTGAAGAAAGACCGCGAATCCTGGTGGTCTCATCGTGCATCAGAGATGGAAAAGGGCGCTACCTTTGGTAACCATCGTAAGTTATTCTGGCTGATACGGGAAACGGGCAGCAGAAGACCAGATGTTAGTGAAACTATACGTGACAAGAGTGGACCGCCTACCCACAACTGGTCAAAACGCTTGGAGTGTTGGGCTGAGCACTTGGAAAGGCAACTTAATCGGTCGGAATTGCTAGATTTCTCGCCGGCCACTAACCGCCCCGGTCCGTGGGCTGTCCCTTTGGATCCACCCTCTCGCTCAGAAGTGGAACGTGAGATCGCACTGTTGAAGTTAAATAAAGCCGCTGGACCAGATGATCTAGCTCCAGCCCATTTAAAATTCGGCGGACCTGTACTTGCGGATAATTTATACGAGTTACTAGTGAAACTTTGGGAGCAGGAAACTGTCACAATCGATTGGAGCCGCTCCATCATAGTCCCAATTTTCAAGGGAGGCTCACGATCGGAATGCAGCAACTATAGAGGAATCAGTCTGATCTCCATCGCCTCCAAATTACTCGCCTCTGTCATCCTTCACAGACTGACTGGCACTTGTGAAAGCTATATTCGTGAAGAGCAAGCCGGGTTTCATCGAGGTCGTGACTGTATTGACCACATCTTCACTTTGCGTCAGTTGTTGGAGCACCGTCACATATATTGGCGGCCCACCGTTGTCGTGTTCCTCGATATCAAAGGTGCATTCGATTCGGTGGATAGACGTGCACTTTGGGACTGTCTACTCAGGAAAGATGTGCCCCAGAAATATGTAAATATTATACGAGCATTATACGCGCGTAGCTCAGGCAGAGTGAGGGCTTACGGCAAGCTGTCGTCGCTCTTCAATATCTCCAGCGGTGTGAGACAAGGATGCCCGCCGTCACCATTCCTCTTCAACTTCGCTATTGACGAAGTCATGGAAATCTCGTTTACAGGACACGACTTAGGTGTGGATCTGCTCCCAGAAGAACGACTTCTTGACTTGGAGTATGCTGACGATATTGTCCTAATCTGTGACAGCTCCCAAACGTGACAAGCCGCGCTGGACAGATTAGCACTGGCTGTCAGCGGCTTCGGGCTTTGCTTTACACCATCGAGATGGAAAGCGTTCCTTCAAGATTGGTCTGGACCGCCTCTTAAGCTGACTATTGGTGGGGATCAGCTAGAAGTCGTTCAAAAATTCAACTACCTGGGAAGTTGTATCAGCACACGTGGGATTGAGGATGAGATCACGAACCGTAAAGCGAAAGCTCGAGGCGCTTTTGCTAACCTTCGCCACTTATGGCGCCGGCGCGACATCGCTCTTGCCCTGAAGGGTAGAGTGTACAATGCAGCAATACGTTCGACCCTACTGTACGGTTGTGAAACCTGGCCCCTTAGATCAGCGGACATAAAGAGGCTAGTTACGTTCGACCACCGGTGCCTTCGCAATTTAGCTCACATCTGGTGGGAACACCGCGTGAGCAACGAGCGTGTTCGACGCGTTGTTTACGGCGCAGGAAATGGAAACGAACCGCCCAGTACCGTTATTTCACACACCAGGCTCCGATGGCTCGGCCACGTGTTATGCATGCCAGCCCACCGACTCCCGCGACGTGCGTTGTTTGCGCGCTGGGGGCGTGGATGGAAGAAAAGAAGAGGTGGCCAAGCGATGACTTGGTCGAGAGGAATGAAGGTCCTCACTTCGAAGCCGGCCTCAGATGAAGCGTCTCGGCTGCCTGGTTGGGGTCCGAAAGAGGATGAACACGTTTGGCTGGATACACTTATTGATATAACTAGGAGCCGACCTCAGTGGCGTTCGTGCTGTGAGTATCTCTGCTCACCCCATCCCTTTTAGCCTCCCCCTCCAATCACGATATCATTATTTTGCATGATAAGTTATTCTTTTTTTTCCTGCTGCATAGTAGCCGGCAGGTAGCTTACCGGAACGATGCCCATCCGTTACCGGTAGTTCAGCTGGCTTGCATCTGTTCCGTCTTATTCTCGTTTTTTCTTTTATGTATTGCGGTACAGTAGCTGAGGTGTTTCTCACCTTTAACTAACGTGTGTTGTGTGTATGTGTGTGATAACAATGTCAGTTGATGACGAGAACTGACTGAAAGACTGGCCCAAACTAGCTCACTGAGTGCGGCGTACGGGATCGTTGGTTGACGTGGTTCAATCAGAAGACCAACAGTGCCCATAGTTCCATTTGTGAACCCTTCTACTTTACAACGATAGTTTTTGCACACATTACTTTCCTTCCTGCATTTTCTTAGTTGTTAACGTTATTACCATCGCTACCAACCGTATGGTGATGCATACCATGGCAGCTAGATCAGTCGCATCTCGGTGCGATCATATTAAAATCATTGAGTTACCACATTGTTCATCGACTGTCGGCTTGAAAACACAGTAGGGGCAAAGGTCACTAAAACACCATTTGATCATGGCCTACTTGCGTGAGAATTAGAAAAGTGGAAAAGTAATAACAACAAGAAACCGTTATACTTCTGGTGTACACCTACGAGTTGAACATTAAATCGAAGATTTCATATAACCCAGGTCTACAAAAGTGCGATGATCTAAACGTCAGAAATGTGTACCTTCACTTTGGTGATTTCAGCATGCCTCCATCGCACGCACGTATCCGGCCAATAGGCAGGCTGAAAGGTGACAAACACACAAGTGCTGCGGCTCACGTAATCACCAAGTGTAACCTCTTTGCCGGTGTGCATGTCAATCAAACTATAATGGGATGTGATGAAGTAGTCACACTTCTTCCTCTGAACTGGGGACTCTGAGGAACTGACACATCCGTGGTATCGTGGGACTTCGCGATCCAAATTGCTCAGAAAATTGCGCCAATTGCCCTCGGTCTCCTCTATGGCGTCTTGTGCGTCCTGTACTTCCTCACAATCGGCAAACTTAGAAAACAGACGCCCCAAACCTTCGCGTGACTTGACATTTAACTTTTCGTACATATCAGCGTAGGAGTCCAAACCACGAAACATGACTGACACTCCGCTCTCAGCAAACAATCTAGCATTGGATTGTGCTTTCCGACGAGCGCCTTGTAGGATGTCGTTCAGTTCACCTGCGCAATGACGAACAGCGACAACTACACTTCTTTCTTCTTCTGTCAGTTCCCGAATCTGCTTGGCACGTTTCATAAATTCACTGAAAAGTATTGGAAAAACGGCCCTAAGTGCAACAGTTTGGGTTAGCTGTGTGCCTAATGAGGCAAAATAGAAAGGTGCGGGCTTTGTTATTCGGCCAATAGGATGAAGGGTCAGTACAGGCACGCATACAGTGATCTCAAATAAAAAATGGGTGTAATGCTTGGCTGATTCCACCTTACGATATGGGCTAACAATAATCGCAAGGAAAACAACTGAGTATCTGAAATAGGTGAAAATGATAAGTATAAAACGGAATGAACTGTAGCAACCAACCGCCACCACAAAGGTGTCATCAGGTTAGAGACAGAGCCAGACAGTTTCAGTACTTCAGACACATGATATCCCCTCGATGACCGCCGCATTACTAGTTTATCACGTGTCTACCACAGTGCCCGGTGGAAAAGTGCTTACGGTAGTTGGCTGTTAGGCGACGTATGCTTGGAAGAGAAATGCTCATATATGATAGCCTCTTCGACTCTATATGGCAGATAATCACCTTACTGCGTCCATATCGTAACGAAATGGATGGTAACACAAGTGGTACGATAAAAGTGATGCCATGGATGTAACTTAATGACACCTCCAAGTGTTTAGCAGAAGGCGATTACTTGTATACAGTGAGGCCATCGCGCAACCAATTGCAAACTGCATCAGATACTCGATCGAAAGTTCCAACACGCTTGCCTACAGTAGTCATTCATAATGGAATAACGAATGGGTAAGTGGAAATCACTCGACAACGCGGTCACGAACCATGGTTGTCCAACGACATATCAATTTCGTGCAACTGGGATGTCCCCAATAGACCCCGCATTGGAATCGCTTCGCGGTTTATTTCATGAACAATAAGCCAGAACCATATATAGACAAACGGTGGAGGTCCGCACGCGGCTTCCAGAGGAATATGTTGACGCTTTCTCTCGTGCCCTTCAAGAGTTCTCCGTGAAAGCATTTCCTGGTTCTGCCAACTCAGAACAGGGCAAATGAATGGCAGAACGGTTTCGTGCGGGACTACGCAACAGGTAACTGCGTCACGATCTTGCTAGCAAGCTAACTTGCAGATTTGTGAGTGCTTTCAAAAGATCTCAGTTTCATGAGTCTCCCGACCTTCTGGATGAGCACAGCGACCCTGAAAAGTTTACTTTGTAGTCAGCGCTGAAAAGCCTACCACAGACAAGCTATGGTCAACAGTGGATGCATCATCAATAACCCCAACCAGTGCAAGTGAGACTGTTGATAGTGTTGACGTTTTGGAAACTGCGCAATTCGTTGGACACAAGCCCCACCCCCGCATCATTCCGCAGAGACCGCAAGGCAGGTCATACTCCAACCATCCAGGATTTTGGCACCTACTTCTCTCCGTAACGATTCATATCGTCATTTGAGCACCCTAGACAGTCTCAATGGTGTTGATATCCGGTTCTCGTTTGATACCGGTGCATCAAACTTTCTGTTGTGTGTAGAGGTGACCAGTGGTCCCAGGAATAGTAACGTCACTACTCGGAATTGACCGTATGTATTAACCGCCAACGTAACTGTAACCTGTCGAATTCACCTTGTTGGCCCTGGTTTGACTCGAAGGTATCATCGTTGTTCATGAGTTTCCTGTCTGGTTAAACTTAAGTTGGGACGGTATCCATGGGATGGATCTTTGGCTAAACAAAGAAGGGAACTCCAGCTCGGTACAACAGGCATCAGCAATACGCCGACATACCATGCAGACGCTTCGCTGTCACGCGGTCACTAAGAATCGCGCGTGGATTAAGCATACTACGAGGTTACTCGCACATACGCTAATTAGAAACGTTGGCCTCCGGATTACAAGACAAACGCGTAATCCTTCTGGCCATCGGCCGACCCATCCGCGCCGCAACCCGGAGGTCACCGGTTCGAATCTACGAAGGTGTGGGCGACCTGGCGGTATACTCAGCCCACAAGTCACTCATAGTGGTCGCGTGGCAACGAAGCGTCGATGAGTGTGTCGGTGTATTGCCGACACCTTTTTACGCAGGTGTGTAATTCTTTTTGCCACCGATCGGCACCGCAGACCTTTTGCTAAAGTCGCTTCCGAACAACGAGGTATTCGAATCACGGCAGTCGTGCGCAGCACTGAACCTTGGTTCAAAACGACAGAACCATAACGCAACGATAACAGTACTCCCTCAGATCGAAAAGCACATTTTTATTTTCTGCTTCCTGACTATGAGAACTTGTTTTGCGACAGTTAAGTCGGCCGCACTAGCGTAATTCCACATGAGATTGACACAGGGAGTCAGAATCATATTCGTCAGTGTGCTCAGAGAATATCTATCCACTATGAAACCCAACTAGATAGGATGATCCAATATATGGTTGACATGCGTGTTATTCATCCGTCGACACCGCGTTGGTCCTCTCTAATTGTACTTGTAAAAAGGATGGTTCCCCACGGCACTGTGTAAATTAACGGAAAATGAACGAAGTGATTCATAAAGATTATCCCACTTGTTCATATTGACGTCACATTTGACGCTCTTCCCAACGCTTGATAGTTCTCTACCCTCGATCTGGCAGCTGGGTATTGGTAAGTAGAAATCTGTCCAGCAAATTAAGAGGAAACCGCGTTTGTATGAATGCGAGAGGAAGCCGTTCAAAGTTCGTGTGGACAGATAAGTGGGATAGCGCCTTTGTGCGACTAAAATGCTTTATGTCAAGACCGCTTTCCTCAAACAATTTCTTGATTTAGGTCTTCCGGATACCTCAGAGCGAGCAGCGTTCTTTGTACTGGATACAGACATCAGTAAAGAGGCAACTGCTTCCGTATTGTCTCAGAAAACACCAACTGGAGAAGCTTTATTCGCTTACCAGCAGTATACCAGCACGCAGTACCAAGGCTTCGCTGACTTGTAAGCATCACCAGTCGCGCATGGGCTAAGAATACTGCGAGGGTCGTCCGGTCCCCAACGCAGAATCGAACCCGCGACATTGGGATTACAAGGCAAGCATGTGATCCTTATGGCCACGGGTCGGTCACACAATGGACAAACGGGAGAGCAAGTACACCACGAGAAAGAGGTGAGTTACTGGTCTTAGTGTGTTTCCTGAAGTAGTTTCGACCATAATTGCATAGGAAACTATTTCTTTTTCGGACTGATCAGTAACCTCTGCAGTAAGTTCGAAACTTTTGTTACCCGAGAAGTATGACCGCAAGAACAATTACAGGAGTAGTGCGAAGAACGGGGGGAGCACGGCATGGCAACGTAGAGGCTCTTTCGAGACTTCCAGCATGGGACAAGGTAAACATAATTTTATGAAATTCGGAAACTGATGCAACATGGTCCGAGAGTCAAGCTTACAATCCTTATACAGCCAGCATCTATGTCAATTAGAGATATTGTCGAAGCCTTCTGGCAATGAAAAGCATCCAGACCGACAGAGTAGTGCACACTCTGGGGTCACTGGAGCAGATCTAAAATCATTAATGGGACACTATGCCGCATGGATAAGCTAGGCCCGAAACCGCTTATCCTGAGAGCGTGAGCAACGGATGTGTTGTAGACGATTCATCATCAGCTGGGTAATGCGGTCCAGCTAAAGACGGAGGCGCATCGCAATGAGGCTGGGCCTTACCATTGTGCGATGGTTTGCCTGTCTCAGCGGTACATTTAGCTGTGCTGGGTTGTGCAACTTGTATCTTCAGAATCACTCAAACCAGATTGGTCAAAGGTTAGTGGACAGAAAATCAGACTTCTGATCCTCTAGCGTGGGCGCTGAAGTGAGTGTAGCAGCTCCTTAGTCCTTAAAACGGACTCTTTATAGCTCACTGCCAAACCTGCGGCCTTGCAGTCAGATTTTGGACCAAACGTTTCGGCTGAGACCCGTAATTGTTTGCCCGTCTAGGCCTGGGTAACCTGACAGTATCCTACCCATGCAGTACAAGGTACCTTTTCTCAAACACTTTCTTGATGCCTTAGCCAGCGCAGAGGATAAGCAACGGCGCTCTATCTGCTGCATCGAGTGGGGAGTAGGGGTTTGGGTGCTTCTGCTCAATCCTTCCCCTGTCTAGGCCTGGGCAACCTGACAGTATTCTGCCCACGCAATACAATGAAACCTTCCTACAACAATTTCTTGATGCTCTGGCCGTCGCAGAGGATAATAAACGGCGCCCTATCTGCTGCATCGAGCAGGGTGGATAGGGGTTTGGATGCTACTGCTCAGGCCTTCCCGTCTTCTTATACCCCTTCTTGCGCTTCTGCATCCTTATTGTCCCACTCCAACTTTACTTATATCCCCCCATTTTCAATCCCCCAATTCTTGGCCCTCCCCCAGCTCACTTCAATAGTCGCTTGTCTTCTAATTTCAAATCACACACAATCGCAGGGCCTCGCTCCAATCCAGTCGACAGGTCCATGTTCAACCAAGCGGACGTCAGTTCATCCGTTTCCCTTTGGAGTCCTCGTGTCTCGCTAAGATTGGCATGCCTCAACGTGCGCACTTTGCTGCAGATTGGCCAACAGGCAGCACTTGCCCGCACACTAGAGACCCTATCGATCGATATTTGCTGTTTATCAGAAACCCGCCTGCAAGGTTCGAGCTCCGTGCTTACCCTGAGATCCCCCACATGCGACACTGGCGGCACATTCTCATTGCGCCTATCTGGCGATGATGCAGCTTCAAATGCCGGTCAAGCTGGCGTCGGGCATTGTTTTGAGTCCCCGGGCTGAAGCTGCCCTGCTTGATTGGATCCCAGTAAACAGTAGGATGTGCGCCGTTAGATTAGCTGGTTCGTTCCGTGCTTCGAAGTCGCGCGGGGACAAACGGTGCCTGTTTGTCATTGCGGCCTACGCCCCTACAAACTGTAGCACTGATTCGGTAAAAGATGATTGCTATCAGCAACTTCAACGGCTCCTTCGTTACAGAAGAAGCACGGATTCTGTGGTGCTGGCTGGCGATCTAAACGCCCAAGTCGGAAAATTGTCCTCCGATGAGCTTCATCTGGGCGGCCAACATGGTGTAGGCT